AATGCTACCAGTGTCAGTTAGTGTCAATGTTCAGTGTCAGTGTGTTTTAGGTAAAATAAAAAGACAAAAACAAAATGCACACTATTGTTTCTGGGCTGTACTATGGGTACAAACAACAATTAACAGACACATATATGGTATCGCTGCAATTGTCAAGAGCTGTAAAATTTATTTTGGGTTGTTCTTTGGTGGTAGGTTATGGTAGTAACAAGAAACACACAGCTAAATAAAAAAAAACAACATTTCTTTTTTACTATTATGGGCCAGTTTTCCTTTGATAAAAAAAAAAAATCAGGAGATATCCATTACCATTTACCACCAAATGAAAGCCCAATTTGTCCTGAAAAAAATGCAGTATAATTCACCTGGATGTACAAAGTAGTTGTGATGATATGTACGGTTTTACTAACACATATCAACGTTGCAAAATTGTGCTTAGGCATTTAGATTTGTTTTACCCTTAGGCATGAAGGGGTTAAAGCTCATCGAAAACTACCAATCAGTCTAAGACTAACCTGTCGCTGCTGCTACTGTGTCATTTTACTGCAGAAAAAGCACTGGCACTGTTTATCAACAGTTGATAAAATAATGTTACAGAGAAATCTCTAGAAAACCAAAAACTGCTGTGTTAACGTCAGTTCATCGTACATGGCTTTTTTTATGACAAACATATATAAGATTATAAACCGTTGTGGGCCAGTACACTGTATTTTTCACCTTTTTAGGGGTCCTTTCATACGGGGCGTACCCGTTTAGCGGATCCGCTTGCTCGGCGGGGGTTCTCTCCCCTTATCCCCACTAAGCAAGCGGATGACAGCTCTGTGTCCCCTCCACTGATGCAGAGCGGAGACAGAGCTGCTCGCACTTCTCAATGGACAGTCGGATGAAAACGGACTGGAGAAGAAAGAGAAGTGCGCCAGACTAAGTGCAGTATGAATATAAAAGTTTATTGCACACAAGATTATAAAAACTCACAAGACGTGGGTAGATATCAGGCATCAATATATAAGGAGGAGGATGTCATCTGTGCTGCACCTCACAAATGGATGGCTGTAATGCCAAGGTGTTGCGTGGCTGGCGCTCTAGGCGGGTCCCACAGGAGGAGGCGAGGATGGCAGGCGCAGTAACCGGAGTCCCGGCGCAGATAAGAACCGGGATCCAGGGCAGGCACTGCTGATCTCTCACATCAGCGTGGGTACAGTAGCCAGCTTGAGGCACATCCAAGATGGCCACCGGGCAGGAAATGACATCAGAACGTTGCTGGGAATCCTCCAAGGGGGCGGTGACGCGTTTCTAGGCAACCTGCCTTTTCATCAGACCTCCATCAGGTCTGATGAAAAGGCAGGTTGCCTAGAAACGCGTCACCGCCCCCTTGGAGGATTCCCAGCAACGTTCTGATGTCATTTCCTGCCCGGTGGCCATCTTGGATGTGCCTCAAGCTGGCTACTGTACCCACGCTGATGTGAGAGATCAGCAGTGCCTGCCCTGGATCCCGGTTCTTATCTGCGCCGCGACTCCCGGTTACTGCGCCTGCCATCCTCGCCTCCTCCTGTGGGACCCGCCTAGAGCGCCAGCCACGCAACACCTTGGCATTACAGCCATCCATTTGTGAGGTGCAGCACAGATGACATCCTCCTCCTTATATATTGATGCCTGATATCTACCCACGTCTTGTGAGTTTTTATAATCTTGTGTGCAATAAACTTTTATATTCATACTGCACTTAGTCTGGCGCACTTCTCTTTCTTCTCCATTTACCACAGAGTCCGGTTTACTCTAGAAAGTGCAAGCCTCACGACGGTGTCTACATTGCAGCGTTGTATATATATGTATACACATATATATATACCATCTATCTCAATCCAGTACTGTTTGCATCACAAGGCCTTTTTTCCCCTCCTTTCCCTACCCCCCTCCCCTCCCCCCCCTTCCCTTTCCTCACCACTAAAGCTGCATCATCTACTTGTTGCCCCTTTATTACTGGCATGTATGATTATATATCTTAATTTCTGTTTACTGGATTATTTTGTTTAAGGTTTGCTGAGTGAACGTTATGTCCACTACAAATTCTCTTGCGCCAATTGCATTTTTATTTTTGGATGAAAACGGACTGCCTGTCCGTTTCCATCTGACCCGATCCGACAGACAGAAGGGAAATTTAATCCCCTATCCGTTCCCTTTTTTGCGGGTCAGATCGGATTGGATGTTGGCAGATGTAAACGGACACATGTCCGATTACACTATGATTGCTTATACCTGTGAGGTTCACTGTTATAAACAATCATTTTTACTGTATGAAATCGATTAATTCAATATTCATTTATTTTGCTCTTAGCTGTGATTGGTCACAGCTAATCTCATGGTACAGATGGGCTGTTATTGTCTGTACCATGTGATCACTGTGTCCAATCACAGAGATCAACACAATAGTATACAATGCATAAATTAACATCATCCATTGTGTACAATTGTCATGTGATCTGCTGTGATTGGTCCTAGTGGCCGGTACACTGATCCATCATCTAGCCTTGAGTGCAATCCCTGGCTATAATACCTTGGTTCTGTGTCCCAGTTCTCTGACAGAATCACCCAGTCTGGGTGACAGGCGTTCCGTCACATGTACTTTACTGCTTCTTGCTCATTGGACAGATGACTATTCAGAGGGGGGGTGTTGCTTGTGGTATAAAATGCAAGGGCCAGCTATGGGATCTCTCTCTTCTTCCTGGAGCCCGGCCAAGATTCAGAAGTTTGAGGACAAATTTACATAATGCATTATCTCTGCTCTTTTATTTCTATATGTTTTGTATAGCACCCTCCTAGGAAAGCTAAGGGGAGCTAGTTAATTATATTTTTAGTTAGAGGCTGAATAGCAGCCTGGTGCAGTAGTCAGACAGTCAAATTCGGGTCAGGGCTAAGAGGTTTCTGCAGATCAGTTCCCTGATATCTCTTCCTGATCTACAGACTTTGAGAAATCTCTAGAACTCAGTCGGAGGGGCTGAGAAGGAGCTGGTCTGCACTCCTAAGGGATTCTGACCAATCCCCAAACAGGAGGCTTAGCATGGGATCAGGACAGACCTTAGGAGTGACTGAGCTTGCTCAGCAGAAGAGTTTGGGTGAAAGATGTGAGAGCAGGAGCTGGAGTGTGGAGTCTGGGAGGAGGCCCACGGAATGGGCCTGCCTCCAGGAGGAAAGCTGAACCTCGCAGGCCCCCTGAGAGAAGACCATCTGTGGAGCTAAGGAAGAAGCTAGACCAGCAGGAGGCCTGAAAGCAGCTACCGATCTGCAGCTTACAGAGGAGGGACAGTGAGTACTTCTACACCCCCTGGATGGGAATAGGGGAGACGGCATTTGGGTGGGAAACCTAACTAGCCCCAGCTGGACTGTGGTTTCTAAGAGTCAGACTCTGGATCCCCTTGTCCAGGGATTTCTACACCAGGAGAGGCTGGATAGCTCTCCAAGAAGAGAAGAGAATCCTTCTGAGCACCTGTACATAGTTGTTAAAGCGGAGTTCCACTCACGCTGTCAAAAAATAAAAGTCAGCAGCTACAAAAACTGTAGCTGCTGACTTTTAAAAAACAGCCACTTACCTGTCCCTCGGTCCCGTGGTGTGTCCCCCGCAACCCATTTCACCGGCCGTCCTGGATTCCAGGAGGCTGGCATCTTCAGTGTGGGCACCCAGCTGTGATAACTTGCGGCTTCACAGCCGGGTACCCACTGCGTATGCGTGAGTAGCGCTGTGCTTCATGAATGGTCATGTAGTCTTCTGGGACCTGTCACATTTCCCAAAAGACTACAGGGAGGGAGGACACCTTCCGTTTTTGATCACCTAGGCGAGCGGGCCGGAAGTGGGAGTGGGTACCTGTCAAATTCGGGTACCCACTCCCCACCCCCCAAAGGTGCCAATCCTTAATGGGGTGCAGGGGAGCAGTCCTTAAAGCAGAACTTCCCCTTTTGGGTGGAGCTCCGCTTTAAGGAGTTTTTCCTCAGTTTACAGTTACCCTGGGCGTCCCATGCACCCCTTTACCCCATCCCAGTACAATACTCCCTATTAAAAATTCACAAAAACAAGCTTATAGCGATTCTAAAGGTTCTTTTTTTCTTTGGAAAATAAAAACATGCTATATTTACCTACTGTGTGCAGTGGGTTTGCACAGAGCAGCTTGCATCCTCCTCTTTCTTGGGTCCCACGCAGGCTCCCCTTCCTGTTGGGTGCTCCCACAGCATGCAACCATTCACACACACGAAGCCATGGTTTGGCCCCTCACCCTCTCTATCCTCATTGGCTGACTGGCTGTGATTGACAGCAGCGAAAGCCAATGGCTCATGTTTGCTGTCTCAGCCAATGAGGAGGCAGAGACCCAGGACAGCCGAGGCTGTCATTCACATTGCTGGATCGCAATGAGACTCAGGTAAATATTAAGGGGGGCTGGGGGCAATGCTGCACACAGAAGGTTTTTTATCTTCTTGCATAGAATGCATGAAGGTAAAAAACCTTGAGCTTTTACAACCACTTTAAGGACGGTTTCCTGTCTCTTGTGTGCAAGGTCTTAAGGAAATGTGCGTTGCCTGGCTGTGCAGGAATATAGGGGGACCCAAATCTCTAGCGACTCCTAAGGGGGTAGTGCTACATCTGAAATAATTCTTTTAGATTTTTTGTTAGGTGTTTTACTTTCTTTGAGCATTGTGTTTTTTTATTATTATAGCTATTAGGTATAGTGTCACCATCAATATGAGCAGAGCATAAGCAGAATAGCAAATTTTAGGAAAAGGCAAGATAGATAAATATATTATTATATATTTTATCTATTTCATTGAGGGAGGAACCCCCCATACTTATTTTACACAACATTTAAGGACTGGTACACCGCAATATATTATCTTTTTGGTTAAAGTGTTACTAAACCCACAACAGTAAAATCAGTCTGTATATGCAGTAAAGCATGCTTGTTATACTCACTGTGGAACCTAAGGGGTCAATCCTCTGCATTGTGTAAAAAGGCTGTTTGATCCTTTCTTCTCTGTTCCTCCCCTTTTTTCTGGCAACCACCTCTTATCTCCAGACTGAACCGTAAGCATGCACATGCTCAGTTTGGTATGTATTGCTAGAGAGGGTTTTTTTTTTACATTTTTCTTGGGAGAGTACATGTGATCAGCACAGGGCCAATCAGCATTGTCCAGACAGAGGTCAGGGGTTTTGCATCCTCCTAGAGCAGAAAGAAAAACTCCTTCTACAGGCTTTAGCTAGTGGTGGGCTGGACACTGATGGAAGCCACAAGACTGTTCTAACTGCTGATGAGAAAATATATTTTGCAGTTTATATTTACTAAAATTATTGCATTTCCATGTTCTGTGTACTGTGGGAGACCAGATATAGTGAATGCAGGGTCCTGGGTTTAGTAACACTTTAATGTGCACCACAATGCACATTATATGCATTGTGGTGCATTGGGCTCTACTGTACAATACATTAGGGTGTCATTCAATATGAATGATACTACAATGCCCATAGCACAAGTACATTGCCATTCATTGCAGAAAATACATGTTTTAGTGCTCATTGCAGCAATGACAAGTGTGAATTGGCCCTGTGAGAATTTTTTATACAACCCTTATGGCCTGATGTGGTTACAGTCATACTATTAAAGACTAATAAATGTGTGTATTGTTATACAGTATGCTGCACTCTATCCATATTTGTAGTTTCTATAATACTCACCTGGATAGAATGAGACAAGTGTCCTCCGGTTCTCCTTGATATTCCAATGGTTCTTACTGCTTGTCGAGCATAATCGTTAGCCTCAAGAACAAGTAATGGCTTAGTCTTCAAGAATGTACTAAATGATAAAATATTGGTCTTTACTAAATATGTGATTAGACTTTGAACGAAGATTCCCTTGGAAGCATATTCATAATGTAGAGTGCGAGAAAACTGATCTATAAAAGACTGTGAGGAGAGAGAATGAGACTAAATTAACATGATTTGGTATACATTGTATAAATAATACTTACCGTATATTCAATTGCAGGTATGTCAAACTAAAATAGAAAATGGTTTGAAATCAATAGAATTTAAGTGTCAAAAGAAAAACTAGGGAAGGGTTACAACTTCTGCCACCTTTTTATTGCTGTCTGTTGCCCCTGTTGGGTAACGTATTTTATTTATTTATTTCAGGTACTTATATAGCGCCGTCAATTTACGCAGCACTTTACATACATATATTGTACATTCACATCAGACCCTAACACTCAAGGGGCGTACAATCTAAGGTCCTTTAACCTTCTCTATTTGTCCTATTTACTATTGTCACTAAGACAGAAGATAAGGAGAAATCCAACATTTTGAAGATGTCACCAGAACAATACGTGATGGTAACGCTGCCCCAAACTACCTCACTGACCTGATACCCAAATACCAATCAACCCGTAATCTTCGCTCCTCACAAGACCTCCTACTTTCTAGCTCCCTGGTCTCCATCTCCCACCCCCGACTGCAAGACTTCTCCAGTACTTTCCCCATCCTCTGGAACTCTCTCCCGCAACCCATTAGACTGTCACCTAACCTCCTCGCCTTCAGGCGCACCCTGAAAATCCACCTCTTCAGGGAAGCCTACCCCACCCTCACCTAACAGCCAATCTCAATCTCCTCCACTCCTCCTACCACTCCATCCCCCACAGCCATCTCCTCCTGTACCACGATCCCCTCCCTCCTAGATTGTTAGCTCAAAAGAGCAGGGCCCTTGAACCCCTCATGTATTGTATTGTTACTGTATTGTCTCATGTACTGTACTGTCCCCCACTATAATGTACAGCGCTGAGCAAACCTTTTTGGCGCTATATAAATACTGTATAATAATAATAATTCTTCCAATGTCTAATAGATTTAGTCTTACTTTCTCTGTCCCTTGGACCAGAAGTGACATTTCCCCAACATAACAAAGGCAACATAAAATAAACTGATAAGGGTTTTAACCCTTACTCACTATTGAAAACTTCAAAATATGGAATCAAAATTTTAAGGGGCTATATTATGAGCTAAGGATCACACTTAAAGTGGCTCTATACTACAATCTAGTAAAATCTAAAATGTGTTGCTGAAACAGAAATTCATTAGCATGGTGTACGGTGACTCAACAAATCAGTAGAAGAATACTTCTCCATATGTAACAAGCACCCTTGGTTCTAGCCTGACAGAAGCCTATCAGACACAATCCCCCTACCATATTTCTCTGGCTCCTCTGTCCTACCTGCAGACCTGGCATGGTGGGTGTCATTGGACACAGGGGAGGGAGACCAGCAAACCTCAGTTCGCTGATCTTTCCTAGCTATTTTTAACTTCTGGTTTCAGGTGCCTTTTTCCCCTGACCACTGTGGCCAGGGAATAAGTGAATGTAGGGGTCACAACAAAATTTTAACACATAGCTCCTATAACTTAGCAATAAAGATAGCTTAAAAAAAAGTTTAAAAAATGAAAGTTACAACCAAGAACTGAAACCTTTCCAATAATTTAAAGCACCCTGCTGCCACATGAATGTAAATGCACATGTTGGAGACGCCTACATGCAGAAACATTGTATGCGCTGTACATTAGGTATTGCAATGCACGTTGAAGTGGGAGCAATCATTCTAGAACCATCATTTATGTTTAACTCTAAACCAAAGACATGTAACTGCTTTTAAAGTGTTATCTATGGATAATTTATTGTATTGAAGTTTGTCACTGTTTCACAGGAGCATGCAACTTCATGGGTTGACATGGTTGGTATCTATTTACTCAACACAACCCCATCTGTTATATTTTATCACAAATCAGGTCATATATTGTGTTTGTGTACACTAAAATTAACTTTTTTGAATTTTTTGCTGTCATTTTGGGTTTGATATATCCTTGTGGTAATATAATGTGACGTAACAAATTGTGCCTACTACCATTTTATTTTCCAGAATCTCTGTTTACAGAAAATGTATAATGTTTGAGAGTTTTAACTAATCTTCAGGTCTAAAATTTTCATTTTAACAGGTATGCAAAAAAGAAAATAGCTACAAGAACATGGGAGTTAACATTCACCAGTAGAGAAAATGACCTAACACTATAGCCTAAGCAGGGGACAAAATATGAGGAAATAATATGAGTGAGCACAGTCTTATCCAAGCAGCAGCCTGGGTGGTCAGGAGAAGAAGGGGGACAAGTCTACTGTAGATTTGTCAGTATCTGGAGGCTATCAATAATGGTAAGCCCCTATAAACAGACCCCCCACAACCACCTTGTTCTCATCAATGGATAAGGTGCTCTGATATGGTACCCCCGAATCATGTTGAGGTCATGTGGCCTGGTATGTTTTGAGGGGGGGGGGCATGCTTTTACCCCCTTTCCTGGCTCCCCAGGATACTGCTTGGATAAGGGTCTGGTATGGATTTTGTGGGATTATATTATTATATTATTATTGTACAGGATTTATATAGCGTCAGTTTGCTCAGCGCTTTACAATATAACGGGAGACAATACAGCAACAATACAGTTCAATACAAGAGGGATAGGAGGGCCTGATCCTTGGAGCTTACAATCTAAGAGATTGATGCATGATAACTCTCATAGTCGAATTTTTTATTCCAGCTGTTTCTCTTAGGACCGAATGTTAGGGAATGGTACATTCGCCCAGCCAAAAGGCAACAAGGAAACTATTACACATAATATAAACATTACAGGTTTTATTTGTTATGCTTGCATGAATGCTGAGACATTCCCAAAGCATTTTTTTTTTCTTAAACAAATAGATCCCATATACTGTATTTTCTAAACACAAAGGCCTTGTAGAATAAAAACATTTACAATTTTTTGTCTTACCATATCTGCACAAATGTTTATTACATCTGTATTTTCAGTTAAAAAAAAACACAAAGATTAATTTTATTGCACACAAACACAATTTAATCCCTAATTTTTGTACAAAATAATATGCGGTAGTATTGAGTAAATAAATACCATTTATGGCAAAACTGCATGCGCCCACAAAATGGTAAAAAATTACAGCACCCAAAAGTATTCATAAGTGGTGCTTTAAATGCCTTTAAAGTACCCCATAAATGAGAGACCTAGAATTATTATATAACTTGTATAGCACAATTCCCATTTAAATACATATTCACACCCTATGCACACACTTGCATTGTAGATGTGTGCAGGGCAAAGGGGTGCTTTTCCTTTTTTTAAATGTTATTTTGTTGTATTTTTTACATTTAACTTTTTTGCTATCACAAGGAGGTTAACAAGCCCTTTACATGTAAACCCCAAAGCCCCAGTTCACATTGCGACTTGTCATGTGATTTTACAGTTCCAAATTGCATAAGTCACACCCTATTGCATGCAATGGAACCGTTCATGAGTAGCAGCGAGTATAAAAAAGGTTCCTGCACTACTTTTTGCCAATTTCATTGCGTCTCGCATAGACTTCTGTTATATGACATCACAAGCTGCAATGAAATCAGCAGTGCAAATCGCATTGATATACGACTTTGAAATCGCACTGAAGTAGCGCGATTTCAAAGGCACACCAGTGTGAACTTGGGCAAAAGCTGTGTATTATAAATAACTGTCTTTTTTAACCATATCATCTTGTACTATGTACGTCCAGAGTGTGAAGGGTTTAATGCAATCACTTCCTTGGCAGACACCCCCTATGGTTCCTGGGGTGTCCGGCTCTTCACAGAATCGCATTAAATTATTTCAGTTTGTCGAACAGGAGAAGATGGAGGAACATCTGTGTTACACATTTGTGTGATTTATTTATCCTACACTACGTTATCTTTTATTTTGTACAAAAAAATGGGGATTAAATTGTGTTTTTGTGCAATAAAATTCATTTTAGTGTATATTTTCCTAAAAATATAGATTTGATTAACAGTTGTGGAACTATCGTATGACATAATAGATTGCAACTACCATCTTTGTATTCTACAGGGCCTCCACTTTCAGAAAATAAATAATATTCTGGAGGTTTTGGACAATTTTATAGTCAAAAATGCAGATTTTAACGTGTGCAAAAAAACAAAAAAATGCTTTAGAGGTAAACAAGTTAAGCTAAAATACTGTTTTCACACTTATTTCATCATTTTTTACATACAATTACTGCTTATTTCTGGCCTCTTTACAGCCACTTCCTGCTTACATTCACGCTCTGCAGCATGTGCTGCACGTCATTTCTCAGCTCAAGTTTCCTAATTGTGACCACAGTGGAACATGCATGTGCAATATCTGTCTGTAGCGCCCTCTAGCTTAGCTAGGTAGGATTTTTGTTAAAGAGAGGCTGGGTAACAGCCTGGGGTGGGTCAGACTGGGAGTGAGGCAGGAGTTCACCTCAGAATAGACTGGGAGGCTCTACAGGTCAGGGCTTCTGGAGCCCTCCCACCCTTCCAGAAACTCAGAGATCTTTCTGGAAGAAGGGTGGAGGAAGTCTAGATCTGAATGTTTAAAGGATATGTTCACCTTTTGTAATGTTACATCCGGAATATGGGTGTAACATGTAACATTACGAAAGGTGAACTTATCCTTTAAACATGCAGATAAGACCAGACCAGACGCTAATGATGGGGCACAATTCCTCCCAATGACACCAACAATGGGGCCCAATGGCACTAATGATGGGATCCACAATTCCTACCAATGACGCCAATGATGGAGCACAATTCCTCCCAATGACACCAGTGATGGGGCACAATTCCTCCCAATGATATCAATAATGAGACAGTTCCTCCCAATGACACCAACAATGGGCCACAGTTCCTCCCAATGATACCAAAAATGGGGCACAGTTCCTCCCAAAGACACCAACAATGAGGCCCAATGATGGGGTACAATTCATCCCGATGAAGCCAGTGATGGGGCACAGATCCTCCCAATTACATCAGTGATGGGACACAATTCCTCCCAATTACATCAACGATAGGGCACAATTCCTTCCCTTCACACCAATGATGGGACACAATTCCTAACGATGACACCAACGATGGGGCACTGTTCCTACCAATGACACCAACAATGAGGCCCAATTACACCAATAATGGGGCACAATTTCTCCCAATGACACCAAGGATGGGGCATTGTTTACTCCAACTGACGTTTTACTCCAAACTGAGTTTTTAAACTCGCTATTTGTTTAAAAAGTTTGGAGACCCCTGGTTTACAGGCTCCTGCAGACAAAAATAATAAAGGCACATTTTTGTACCTGCAGAAAATTGGGCATTTATTATTTTTTTTTCTAAAAGGTTAACTTATCCTTTAAGGGAGCTTGGCCAATCCCCAGGCAGGAGGCCGGGCATGGTGACCAAGGACAACCCTTAAATGTGGAAGAGCCTGAGCAACAGGGGAGTCAGGTGGAAGATGGACTGATGGAAGGTGCTGGAGTGTGGAGCCTGGGAGGGGACCACAGGGAGGGGAGCCTACCTACAGGATGGTTGATGGACAGGAGAATCTGCACTGTTCCATTGTCTTTTAGGGAGGACATCCTGAGTAGCAGGGAAGGAGCCAGCCTAGCAAAAGGCCTGAAAGCAACTGTAAACCCACCATGCTGGCAGGACAGGACAGTGTGAGTAGTCCTACTCCCCCCTGGGCCAGATAAAGGGAGAGTGAGGTCAGGTGCGAGACTCAACTAGTTCTCATCTGGGGCTACTTCATTGTTAGATCTTGGAATCCCTTGCCCAGGGATACCCTCAGTGCAGCTAGGTGAAGAGGAAGGAATCATCTGGGGTCTGAGGAGGTACACCAAAAGGACTTAGAGCTTTCTAGAAAGAGACAGTGCTCTAATTGATATTTTCTGGATCCATGTTTTTTTTGTACAGTGCACAGGTTGCTAAAAAGTTTGCCCTCAAGTTTACAGTTCGTGGGACATCCCATATACCCCTAGACGCCATCCTAAGTTGTTAATCCCTTAATAAAAACAACTGTAAACCAGCTCAAGGACTGTTTACTGACTACAAGTGTGCAAGTGTGGAAAATGCATGTTGCTTGGCCATGCAGAGCTTGGGGGGACCCAAAACAAATCCAGTGGCCCTCAAGATGGTAGTGCTACATGTCAACACCGCTGCTTATATCCTGCTTGAAACAGAGTGACAACACAGGAGAACAGTCATTGAGTGCTGTCACTCTGTAGCAAGAAGTGTCTGTATAAGGACTTTCATGGCAGGACAGCAGGTAATATTTTTAAAGTGACATTAAACTTGCATTTTTTCTAAACAAAAATAAATGCAACATGTTTAAATAAATGCAGAATGTACCTTCTAACGCTCTCTTCCTTAGTTTCATCTCTCAAATGCAACCTCTTTTCTGTTATTCTCAGACTTTCTGTTCTAGGCTACATTCATTTTCCATGTCTCCGTGTGTATGTGAACTTAGCCACCCTCTCCTGCTCACCCCCAAGATGGACTACACATCTTTGTGCAGACACAATCAGCTCTACAGGAAATGTAGTATGCATGGAACGTGTGGCTGGGGCCACTTCACCCTATATGCAGGAATGTATTTCCACAAGGCAAACAAGGTATTTACCTAGGACGGCATTTTTCAGGGGGCAGCACCGCTCCCCGGAAGAAGGGACAGAAGAAGGAACACGCACAGCATGGGGACCAGGTGGGATCCGAGAGAGGCTGCAGGCTGCTTGACAGTATATGCAGTACCTGACTCTCATTCTAGGGGATGTTTGGAGCTGGGGGGAGGTTGGGAGGTGGGGTGGCCGGTGTATGGAGGGTGGTGGTAGTGAAAGGCTCTGTCAGGTAGGGGATGGTGTTGGTTGGTGTCAGGTTCTCTCCACGGGGGGGGGGGGGGCATCTTTTCTTGTGTGCAAGCTTACTAATGCCCATGTGAACTCAACATTAAGGTGGCACTCATACTTAGTAACAAGCCATTCACCTTGTGCAGCTGTACAATAAACTACAATAACTACTCTGCCCCATGTCACTGCACACCTTGTCTCCCAGAATGTAGCATTTAGAAGGAGACAATGAAGAGCCCATGTCCCACTTCACCAGTCCAGCTATCCTGCATGCACTACTCAACTTCTTTAACTCCACACCTACCTTCAGCTAGGTCTGTGAGTTCTCCACTACACAGGTTCTGTTCCAGGTATTTGAGGCACCAACTCCTAGGGAGGGAATCAGAGAACTGAGCCCCTGTCTAGACAGAGAACCCGTCACCCATGCCGGTACTGTCCTTCCACTGTTTGGCTGCCATGTCATTCCCACAGTACTGGTTGCCCTTGGTAACTATGTGTCTTCTTCTTCAACCCTGTGTGTGTGTAACAGGTCCTGTTTTTTGGTATACGCCATATACCACCATACACCCCTTTTGTAGTGACTTCAGACCAGGCTTAAAACAGTTAAAGACATTTTACTGTTCATGGAGTACAGCCCAGAAGCAAACAATTAGCCACAGAGTTCATTCCTAACTACCTACTGTAGGCTGCCCAGTGCCTTTCCATACCTTTAGCAGTGTACTGGCTTCAGTTGTGATTCCCCTTGGGGGTGGTCCAATTGCTTGCTGTGGTCTACATAGTTCTCTCAGCCTATTGCTTCAGTTCCCATCCAGGCAACGGAAAAAGCCTGCTTGTTAGAGCCACCCTCATATTTATATTAATACAGAAAGGAGGGCAGAACCAAAAAATGCCTGGGAAAGTGCTGAGCAGGTTTAACCCCTTCCCAACCTGGGCAGCCTGAACAATTAGCTAAATTGTCCCAGATGAGAACTAGTTGGATCTCGCACCTGACCGCACTCTCCCTTTATCTGGCCCAGGGGGGTGTAGGAGTACTCACACTGTTCTGTCCTGCCAGCATGGTGGGTTTGCAGCTGCTTTCGGGCCTTTTGCTAGGCTGGCTCCTTCCCTGCTGCTCAGGATGTCCTTCCTAAAAGACAGAGGAACAGTGCAGATTCTCCTGCCCAGCAACCAGCCTGTAGGTAGGCTCCCCTCCCTGTGGCCCCCTCTCAGGCTCCACACTCCAGCACCTTCCATTAGTCTCATCTTAAACCACTTGAAAGTACCTGTTTACAAGCAGACTATGTGACCACAAATAACAGCACTTCTCACTCTAGCAGTGGTGAGGCATATCAGTGGAGGACAGAGACTGTGCACAGGACAAGAAATAAACCTAAAAATAATAGTAAGAGACATTAAAAAAACAAAACAAAAACAGATCCCTTATATTTCACAATGATTGAAATGTTTGATGTAAAAGTATAAGTTAGTGTCACATAAAATGATACTAAACCCACAACAGTAAAATCAGTCTGTATATTCAGTAAAGCATGCTTGTTATACTCACTGTGGAACCTAAGGGGTTAATATTCTGCATTGTGTAAAAAGGCTGTTTGATCCTGATTTCTCTGATCCTCCCCTTCTTCCAGTGCCCCCTCTTATCTCCTGATAAGACATATCGTGTGGAGTCACTCTGCACATGCTCAGTTTGGTGTGTATTGCTAGAGAGGTTTTTTTTTTTCTTGGGAGAGTGCATGTGATCAACAAAGGACCAATCAGCAGACAGACAGAGGTCAGGGGTTCTGCATCCTCCTAGAGCAAAATTAAAACTCCTCCTACAAGCTTTAACCAGTGCTCTGCTAGACACTGATAGAAGTCACAAGACTGCTCTAACTGCTGATGAGAAAAGGTATTTAGCAGTTTATATTTACTAAAATTGCATTTCCATGTTCTGTGTACTGTGGGAGGCCAGATATAGTGAATGCAGGGTCCTGGGTTTAGTAACACTTTAAATGAAAGCTTCATATTTAAAAGATTGAAAAAATACTTTTGAAATATAAAGTTAAAACCTATATAAGATTATAATGCTTGAGTTTGTATATACTTTGTAGGTTTTAAAGGTCAGTTAAACTTCCCAGTGGTATGTTCACAGATAGTCAGGTAGATACATTACCTTGGAAGATGCATAAATGTTCATTAGAGGTGTGGGTTTGCAACAAGTCGCAGAGGACACATTGAGAATGGCTCCTCTCTTCCTCTGTACCATCCCTGGGAGAACTATATGAGTCATCATGACAGCTGCTCCAATATTGACATTAATAATTTCCCATGATTTGTCCTCTGGAGCATCTGTGAGGATCTGTGGATAATCATAGAATGTTCCAACATTGTTAACTAAAATACCCACTTCCACATTTCTCAGAGCCTCCTTAATATGAGGATAGACTTCAAGTCCCAAGCTGAAATCAGCCACTATGAAACGGGATTGTACTTTGTAGGTTGCAGCAATGGCTTCAGATACTTTCTGAAGCTTCTCAGGGTTGCGACTGACCAAGATGATGTTCATCCCATGACTTGCCAGTTCCTCTGCGTAAGCTTTACCAATGCCATTTGTGGCTCCTGTGGAAAAGAAATGATAGACCACAGTGATTTTTAGAGACTGTGCTAGGCTGTGGTTTAATTTTACAATTTACAAAAATAGTCTGCTGGACACACTGATGCTACAATGAAAATAAATCCTTAACGTGGTATTAAAAAACAAACATTTATATTATTGTAGTAGATATGAGTTGTTCATTTAATTTCGAATTTAAATTTGGACGAAATTTCCTTATTTTGAGATTCGGATGTATCCGAATTTTGTAATTGCAACTAATTTCAATGAATCTGCAAAAAAATTATAATGAAACAACAAAAATGTATTTGTTTCATTCAGATGTTTAAAGCATCCGAAAGAAATGAATGATCCAAATGTATTTATCATAGCTGGTTGTTAAGGAGCGGGTGGCTGCCCAGCTGCCGTGTCCTTAACAACCATGACTCATCTGCTGTCATCGGAATTCCCTGCTGCCAGCAGAATGTAAACAAATACCGGTTTAAAAAAAAGAAAAAAAAACAGTGTGGGGGTCCCTTCCCCAATCCATACCAGGCCCTTAGCCGAGCATGCAGCCTGGTAGGCCCCTGAACCATGCCAGGCTACATGCCCAAAACATGGGAGGTGCTTTGGGGGAGCTTATCAGAATCAGAAAGCCCCTTTAACAAGGGGGTCCCCAAATCCACCCCCCCATGTGAATGAGTTTGAGGTACTCATTCATCAATAAAAGTAAAAGTTAGTAAAAACACAAACACCGTGTCATTCCCCGAATGACAGGAAAACATGGGAGTGGGGCCATCTGGTGACATCACTGGGTGACGCTGCCCCATGTTTACTTGTCATTTAGGTAATGACACTCACCCAATGACAAGTAACATGGGGGGGTCATCCGGTGATGTAATTTGGTGTGAGTCTCTGGATGGGACAAGTTGTGTTCAGCAGGCATTTTGGGGGGGACTCCTTGCTGTTCTTTTTACCAGACAAAGGGTCTGGTATGGATGAGGGGGACCCCTGCCCATTGTTTTTCAAAAGCATTTGTTTTGATTAGGTCTAGTATGGATTTTAAGGGGAATCCCATGCCAAAATAAAAAAAATGGCATGCCCCCCCCCCCCCCCAAAAATGCATACCAGACCCTCATCTGAGCATGCAGCCCGGTAGGCCAGGAAAGGGGGGGCAAATAAATGCCCAATCCCCTCCTGAACTATTCCAGGCCACATGCCTTTAACATGGGGGATGCTTTGGGGCAGCAGGGGTTCAAAGCACCTTGACCCCATGTTGATGAGGACAAGGGTCTCCTCCCCACAACCATGGCCCAGTGGTTGTGGGGGTCTGCGGGTGAGGGGCTTATCAGAATCTGGATCCCAGTTCCCCTCAGTCACCAAAACAAGTCAAAGTAAAAACACAAACACTGTTTTTGACAAGCCCTTTATTGAAAAAACAAAAAACAAAAACCAGCCGCTCGCCAAACATGACGTGTTCCATCCAGGGACTCATGTCTAATGACAGGTAAACATGGGGTAAACATGAAAAAAGAAAATAAAAAATACATTTTTGTTTTCTTTCTTCATTTTCCAAAAACTTGTGCCAACAAATGAGGTCTGCAAAATACTCAACATGCCTCTTACAAATACCTCTGCAAATACCTTGGAGTGTCTACTTTCCAAAAAGGGGTCATTTTGGGGGGGGGGGAGGGTTCTACTGTCCTGGCATTTTAGCACCTCAAGAAATGTGATAGGCACTCAGAAAGTAAAAGCTAGATAGATTCTAGTATATATACCATAGTTAGGCGCTATAACTTTCACACAAACTAATTAATATACACTTATTGGGATTTATTTACCAAAGACATGTAGCAGAATATGTTTTGGCCTAAATTTATGAAGAATTTAGATTTTATTGGATATTTTTTATTACAGAAAGTAGAAAATATTGAGTTCTTTTTTCTAAATTTTGGTCTTTTTTAATTTATATTATAAAAAAACCCAGTGGTGATCAAACACCATCAAAAAAAGCTCTATTTGTATGAAAACAAATGATATAAAATTCATTTCGGTACAGTGTTGTACAGCGTGCAATTGCCAGTTAAATTGTGCAGTGCTGAATAGCAAAAAAATGCCCTGGTCAGGAAGGGGGTAAAACCTTCCGGAGCTCAAGTAGTTAAAACAGAAATGCCATAACATTGTTGTAAAATGGAAATACACAGAACATCAAAGATAAAAGGCATTATGTGAACAGATAAAAGTAAGAAATAAAACAGTTACGTGCTTTTATGTTTAAGAGCTTCTTACTGACCAGTAACTATAGCCCATTCTCCATACTGTCTGATATGCTTGGTCCTGCTTAGAAAACAAGGAACTGCATACTGCTGTATCATTGAATACCAGAAATGAAGAAAACTGAAAACATTCCACATGATGAAACACACTCCAACCACAGCCAGGATCTCCATGTGACTGGAGTAGAGCTGTAACATCCCCTTGGATATCAACACAGGGATCCTATATAATTCATTCGCTAAATCCTTAACTCCACTGAAGCCAAGTCCTTCCATCTGAAATATAAAATATTTTAATGAAAAAAAAATAAAACGTTCCACTAGACCTGTCTGCTACAGTGACAAATCCTATTGCAGTTGCTGTGTTTCTAGCCCAATAAAAATGTAGACATTAAAAGAATTTATTTTCATGCCAACATTTTAAGACAGTGAACTGATAAAGAAGAAAACATGTCATGGGAGAAATATAAAGATTGTTCATGCTTATATTTTGAAGCACAGGGTAACATTGGAAGGCTACTATTTCTTACCATAGGTTTACTAATAATCAATAAAAATATTTTACAAATATAATCAATTAAAAATATTTTAACAAAAATTAAGAAAACTATGTGAATGAATATATTTATGATTACCTTTCCAACGTGCGGTGAACAAAATCTTCTCTTTCTCTTGTAGAACTCCAGATGTCATTGCTATCTGACAATTTTTGGTTATCAGAAAGTGTGGGCACTGTGGTTCCCCTCACTGACCTCTAGGTTGCTACTCTCTGTCCTATAGGAATGTTATGAAACGTTCTATTTTTTAGCAGTAATTAGCTAATGAAGGGACTGGACCTCTTACATGCGCCAGAAGGATACTGGAGAACTAAATGATCAGCAGAGACCTTTGTCTCTATACTGAGAGATCATATCCCAGTAAGAGTGTTATTGGGTACAATGCTGATAACCTCAAAAAAAAAACAACGCCGATGGTGTTTGCGGTACATAAAGGCACAGATTGAAGATACAGTTAATGAGCAAAATGTGGCAATAACTATGACAAAAGGTAATAATATTTTCTATACCGCCACTACTAAGTCTTTCTGTCTATATTTTACCTGGGCCTATTGCCCTTCACTGAGTCTGTACACACAAAATCTAAAATCTAATATTTGCCAAACAAGAGGTTTTTATAAAAATACCATGATAGTTGTCAGGAACTGTGTCATTATTTGAGTCACCTGCTGGTGGCACTGTTGTTCCCATAGTCGAAGGGCGCAGCTCCAGTGGCCATCAGTGGGTGTCTCCCAGAAGTGGGCTGTCCAAATAATTAGGCTGCACCTGACATGGGCTTCTGGTAGGTATATAATCCCATCCTTGACTGAAGTTCAGTGCTTTAGGCCTAGTTCACACTGGCTTTGAAAGCAGGCATTTGAGGAGAGTTTTTAATGCTCCTCAAACGCCTATGAAAATTATATTATACGCAGCAGACAGTGCTGTTCACAATATCAAAACATGAAGTGTTAGCGTCGCGTTGCTTCAAAATTGAAGCCTCATGTTGAGTCAGGAGGAGTTTAAAGCCTTTCAATGCCTCCCATTCAAGTCTATACACTTGACACTATACACACTGGCAGGCGTTTGCAGGGCATTTGCGGTGTGGTTGCAGAGCATTAATAACATTACAGTTTATTTAGTATGTGGTGTGGTTTTAATGCTTGTCAAATGCTTATAAAACGCTTCAAAACTGCACATAGGGAGTTTGGGGAGCATTTTTAATGCTTGTGAAAAGCCAATCTAAAGCTCATTACCACCTTTCTAATGCCCATACTAAAGTTCATTAACGCCTATTTAACGCCCATACTAAAGCTCATTACCACCTGTCTAACGCTCATACTAAAGCTAATTAACGCCTATCTAACGCCCATACTAAAGCTCATTAACGCCTATCTAACGCCCATACTAAAGCCCATTAACGCCTGTCTAACGCTCATACTAAAGCTCATTAATGCCTATCTAACGCCCATACTAAAGCCCAATAACGCCTGTCCAATGCCCATACTAAAGCCCATTAACGCCTGTCTAACTCCCATACTAAAGCTCATTACCACCTGTCTAATGCCCATACTAAAGCTCATTAACGCCTATCTAACCTCCATACTAAAGCTCATTAACGCCTATCTAACGCCCATACTAAAGCTCAATAACGCCTATCTAATGCCAATACTAAAACCCATTAACGCCTGTCCAATGCCCATACTAAAGCCCATTAACTCCTTTCTAACACCCATACTAAAGCACATTACCACCTGTCTAACGCCCATACTAAAGCTCATTAACGCCTATCTAATGCCAATACTAAAGCCCATTAACGCCTGTCCAATGCCCTTACTAAAGCCCATTAACTCCTGTCTAACACCCATACTAAAGCACATTACCACCTGTCTAACGCCCATACTAAAGCTCATTAACGCCTATCTAATGCCCATACTAAAGCTCATTAACGCCTATCTAACGCCCATACTAAAGCTCATTAACGCCTATCTAACGCCCATACTAAAACTCATTAATGCCTATCTAACGCCTATACTAAAGTTATAGGAGAGTTAGAAATTTAGTCAAGTGTGAACAAGCCCTAAGTGTTCTTCTTGCAAGCTGTATCTCTGCCTGATCCTGACCCTTGTTCCTGACCCTGAGACCTGCTCGTGCGACCTGCTACTTGTACCCTGCTTCTAGCTCCCAGTACTTGGCTCTCTGCTCCCCTTTTCTCCTGTACCTGTCCCGACCTTGTTCTGCTCATGTGTGCTCCCTTCATTGTGTATATAGTTAGGTTATTATTTGGGGTTTTGCCCTGTCACATTTATTTGTCACTTACATTGTTTATAGTTTACTGGTGTTGTTGTTGAAAGTTTGTCATTTGTCTTAGTAAACTCAATCTGATTCCTGATTCCTTATATTTCAATATTTTTTTGGAAAACTGCAGAAAGTATATACAGAAAAATAGGAAACATAGCCCACCTACATGGTGAGTTGTGGCGCACAAACAGATTCATAAAATATATAGGTACATAAGAATACATCAACCAATGATGTTGTAAACAAGAGGACACAGCCCCAGTAGGGTAGCACATATTCCATCGGTCAGTAAACCTGGGCAGTTTCAGATAGTCATCTGACAAAATAAGGAGACCGAAAAAATTGAACAGAGGAGTCAAAGAAGAGGAAAAAAAACCAAAAGAGAAGAAAGAAAGGAGGAAGGAAAAAAAGAGAGAAAAGAGGGCCAGCCATAAGTCCATTAGATAATAGAGATATACCTAATCCATGGTTCCCATGTGACCTCAAATTTAGAAGTATTATTATTAACGATACTCGTAAGTTTATCATTTATCATAATCCAATTAAGTTTCTGTTTGACCGGGTCTAGCGGAATTGATGACTGTCTCCAACATCTAGCTATAGTACGTTGTGCTGCCAACAGAAGATAAAGGATTAATTCAACTGATTTCTTGGGAATATCAGTGGGCAACAAATGAAATAAGGCTACTTCTGGTGATTTACAAACATTAATTCCTGTTATCGAATAAATGAAGTTAAAATATTCGGATCCAAAATTTATGAACCACCGGACATTTCCACCATATGTGGAGCATAGTGCCCTCTTGTCCGCAGTGTCGAAAGCAATTAGGGGACACATATTAGGGGACAGCAATTAGGGGACACAAATGGGTACATTTTAGCAAGACGTGTAGGAACTAGGTACCAGCGAAGAAGTGTTTTATAATTGGATTCGATAAGAGTAGTATTTGCATACTACTTGGCTGTAGTCCGCCAAGTGTCCAGATCTAAAGAACTGTTCAAATCCCTTTCCCACTGAGTCATATAGGATAGCTTAGTAAGTGGATCGACAAGGGAAGCATAAATAATGGATAATCAACCTTTCATCATCCCAGTAGGCCCACAGGAGATATTTAGAGGTGAGAGTGTACAGGGTTCTACAAGTAATTTGAGTTTACTGTTGATAAAAGATATAATTTGATGGCAACAGAACAGTTAACTGGAGGGCATCTGGAAATTTGTCAAAAAGTATTGGAGAGAACGAGGACGAAGTCCATCTAAATAGTCCCCAATACGCAAAAAACCCTTATTGATCCACTACTGAAACGCAGATGGTGATAGGCCAGGAATAAACTCAAGGTTACAAAAGACTGGAGGACAGAGGATAGGAGGACGCAACCAACTAGGAAGCCACATGAGAGCGCCAATAGTATAGGGACAGCAAGATAAGGCCTCAATGCCAACCCACTGGGGAACATAACCCCTAGCGGTAGTACAAGAGAGCTGTGCTATCTGAGCTGCCTGAAAATAAGTCAAAAGATTAGGAAGTCCCTAACCGCCATGCTTTTTTAGGGAAAATGAAGTTGACTTGTAAACCCAAGGACGTTTTCCTTTCCATATAAATCTAGAGACTGCTGCTTGTAAATTTAAGAGTTCCTGTTTGGGTACCATGATCGGCAAAGTAATATAATAGTCTTGGCAAAAAGGTCATCTTAATAGAATTAATTCTACCAAACCAGGATAAAGGAAGATCCTCCCAATCATGTAAGTTAGTCTTAAGTTGTTTAAAGAGAGGGGGGTAATTGGTCTTATATAGTGACGAGATAGAGTTCATGAGATGAATCCCCAAATAAGGGAGAGAATGAAAGGCCCACGGAAAATCAAAGTTGTTCCGCAGATATTGAACCTCTGAATCAGGTAGAGACATATGTAAAGCAATTGTTTTAGAGGAATTAAGAGTAAGACCAGAGGCCGTAGAAAAACAATGAAATAAGTGGAGGAGACTAGGTAAAGATGTTTGAGGGGTAGATACAGTATATACATAAGGACATCGTCAGCATCCTGATTCCTTCAAGCGGTAGTAAAGCTTAAAAAAAAAAAGTTTTCCCCTGGAAGGTAATATCATAATGTGCTAGTATACATTGCATAATAGCACATTATGAAAATCTTACCCTAAAATGAAGTTCACGGGCTCCGGCCATTTGACTGGCCGAGCTGCGCTTATGTCACTCCTGTGAATGCGCTTGGGAGCCCTGGAATGGCACAGGTATGCCGTTCCTTCAGAGCACATGCGCTGATTACATCACCGGATGCTGCTCAATGGATTATCTCTTAAACGGCACACATTTAGGAGATATTCATTTTACCTTCAGGTAAGCTTTATTA